CTCCCCCCGAGAGGACTGCTGCACCCATCTAGAGGAATAGTTCGTGCATGTGAGAACAATTTTCGACTGTGAAGTAACACATGAACGAAAGGGAGGGCTGTGTGGGCCATGATCACAGGCGGATTCGAGACTTCCTTGCCTACCCACGTAGAAGATCCCTTGAGCCTCTGTGGGCCATGGTTGGTCTTCTCGTTACCCAAGCCCCCTGGGAAAGAAGTTGTAGCTCCCACCCAGAATCAGCCACAATTCAGGAACACTGAGTTGAACAAGTACTTTCAGGGAAGGCACCCAATGTCCATGGCCAGGTATGCTGAAAGGCCAGATGGACTGGACATGTTCACTCCTGGGTTCTCCAAGCTGCCTCTCGATTCCTTGTGCGGCCAGCCCTGAGCTCCTTGTCCCTTCTGGCCGCCGGGCACAGCGAATGTAGCGTCCTGTCCAGAGCAAAGTCCAAGGCACTTCGTCTAGCTTTTTCCTTCTGCCATGGTCCTACTCTTTGACCAGGCATTGCCAAGTATTCTCAGTGGGAAAAGGGACACCTGGCACCCATGTGAATCCTTGCAGAGACCTCAACCACCATCTCTCGTTGTTCATGTTCCTCCAACCCAACGAAATCATACCCTAACCACACTTAGCTTGTGTGGATTACACTTTACCTTCTCCAGGTCCTTTCCTGCCCTGTTGTCATTTTGTCCTTACAAAGCCTTGTGAATTACACAAGACAGACATTGCCAGGCATGGAAGCTAGTCAGGATACGGATAAAAAGAGGCTCCACAGAAGACCTAAAAGCTTCAACTAGTCAGTCAATCAGAAGCTGAACTAGAAATTCATGTGACCCCTGTCACAATGTCCGTTTGCAAGATTCTATCTCTCAGTCCTTAGGAAACATTCTAAAGCCATTGGCTACTAGCCACAGGCAGCCTCAAACAAACCCCAACTAAAACAAAAGAAAACAAAAGGCACAGTTGTGTCAGCCCGGACTCCTCAAATTCACTGTCCAGCGACTGGCCCCCACAGTGGGCCTCAAGCTGCAGAACAGATAAGCAGTGAGACCCTCACCCCTCAGAAGCGGCAGAGGCCAGCAGGGGGTCAGTGGGCGATGAGCAGGTTACAGGAAGCAGCAGCTCCTGCAGAGTCCCGTCCTGCTGTCCCGCCGTCTGGCGATCCGTCCAGCCCTCCTCCTGGCCCCGCGCATCCTCTTCCTCAGGCCTGTGCCCAGCACAAACACTCTTCCTTCCAGCCGACCTCACTCCAGTCTTGACAAAGCTGGACCTTTATTTTTAGAACTTTTGTAACAGAGCAGACTATTGGGCACAGAAAGAAAGAAAAAGACAGGCTGCTTCGGCCCCTTGCAAGTTTGTCCTGAGGCTCCCCAACACGGCCGCTCGCTCACACACACGCAGGCCCACATGAAGCTAGCACTCCTCCATCCTCCATGCGGCCGGTTCTTCCACTGCCGTGTCTAAGTTGGGCTAAAGGTCATAAGGTGGATGGAAAAATCAGCACAGCTACAAGGGAGTAATGAGCGAGAGAGAACACACCCTGAGGTCACCCTGCTTGCTCAGCACTTCCTCCCTATAGCTCTGTCAAGCACTTAAGAAGCAAGTACAGATTAATCCTGTCCCCATTGGAGGGGGGCAGAGGGGCCCTGAGGGGTTCGTGACTTATCCAAGACCACAGCCGTGCTGGCCTCTGAGCTCTCTGACGGCCACCCAGACCCAGTGGAAAGTCCCCTTGCTGCTGCACAGCAGTACACCCAGAGAGACCACGGGAACCAGAGCTGTGGGCACTGGCTGCCACTGTTCTCTCCCCAGGGTCATGTTCCAGACGTTGGTATCATCCCTTCTTCCCCTACAGTCAAGTCATCCTGATCCCAGGAGACCAACCCTGCTCTCTCCAGCTTCCCGTCTCATCATGCTCCTTCCTCCAGACTTAGGACCTGAAAAAGGCTTCTCAGAAGCTAAGCCTGACATCCCGGCTCTCTTCTCCAAAATGAACTTACAGGGCTGCTCTCTGAAATCTCAGATGGCCCGGGGAGTGGTCCTTCTTACTACCGGAGTTGTCATTAAGGGGAAGGCTGATCACACTGGCCTTTCTGGGTGGAGTAGAAGAGATGCCAGCCTGGGTAGGTGTGAAAATAGGTCAGATGTGCCAAGGACTCAGCCTACTCCGAGGCACAGAATCTGAAGGAGACACAACCTTGCTCCCACCCAGGCTATTTCATCAAGGCCCAGTCTCTCACCTTTTCAGGAAAGAGGCATTGCTAGTAATAGCAGTGGCTGTGATAGGCTGAGTAATGGCTTCTCAAAAGGTAACCATGTCCTAATCCCTGGGACCCATGAACATTTTACCTTATGGGGAAAAAAGTAGTTTGCAGATGTGATTATGTGAAGGGTCTTGAGATGGGGAAATCATCCTGAATTTCCAGGACGGCCTTAAGTGCATTCACAGGGGTCTTGCAGGGATGGGGAAATCATCCTGCATTTCCAGGACAGCCTTAATACATTCACAGGGGTCTTGCAGGGATGGGGAAATTATCCTGAATTTCCGGGACAGCCTTAGTACATTCACAGGGTCTTGCAGGGATGGGGAAATCATCCTGCATTTCTGGGACGGCCTTAATGCATTCACAGGGGTCTTGCAGAGATGGGAACGTCTGGAGCACAGGCCATACAAGGCCCACAAAACCAGTACCAGCTAACATCACGCGCCTCACCAAATTAGCCTGACCAAATATAGCAGGCTGATGTTTAAGTTGATGATTGTGTATGGCCCACGAATGATGTTATAAATATCCAAATGGCCCTTGGCAGAAAAAAGGTTCCCTGGCCTGCTAGGAAAGAGACAGAGGGAGATTTGACTCAGACAGAGAAGGTAATGTGACCAGGAAGGCAGAGGTGGGAGTGGTGCCGCCACAAGCCAAGGAAAGCCAGCAGCCACCAGGAGCTGGAGGAGAGGAACGGATTCTCCCCTGCAACCAGCAGCAGGAGCACAGCCCTGCTGGCGCCTTCACTGCAGCCCAGTGACAGACAGAGCTTCTGGCCTAAAGTTCTATGCTCTAAGCCACCCAGTTTGTGGTGACGTGTTAGAGCAGGCAGAGGAACTAACACAGGAGCTGACACTAAATGGTTGCCCACCCTGTACCAGGCACTGCACTAAATATTTACCTGCATCAACCCAGTAGATCCTGGCGCTGGATGTGAGGCCTCTGCTGAGCAGGCACACTGCCTGGGTGGGAATCCCAAACTCGTTACTTACTGTTGTGACGCTGAACACGTTATGTAACCTCTCTAACCCTGTTTCCCAGTTCATAAAATGGGCATATAGTTACCTTTCTCACTGGGTGGCTAGGACAATAAAATGAATAATGGGAAAGTGTGTCGAACTGGACATAGTAAGTATTCAGTAAATGCGAGCAACTGCGAGATCTCGTGTTGACCAAGTCAAAATTAGACCATCATCCCAAAGTCAGGGCATGGACAAGGCCTCTTGGACCCAGTGTGGTAAAAAGATGTCCCTTTAAAGCCAGTTGACTAGGAAACATGGTGGTCTAGCAAACATAGTGAAGTACTTCTTCCCATAATTAAACAATTAGGTCCTAACACTGGCCTCATTTCTTAAAGGGACAATGCCTCAGCTTGAGCTAATTCTGCAGCATTCCCAGCAGACTTCTGGGCCCCTAGGTCCTGTTCCTAAGGAGAACTATGCACACTCGCCATCCACAGGAAGGACCTAACGTGCAGCATCCACACCTACATTTCCCTGCAGAGCCCACCACACCTCCCTGCAAATCTGGCATCAGGAACTGGAGCCCCAGTGCTTGGAAACCAGGGCACAGAAATGCCAGTCCAGTTCATGGCCTTCCAAGTGGGCTGGGTGGAATGGGAAATTAGGGGTCTGCTTTGATTTACAGGTTACAACCAGGCTAGTGAAGAATAAATGAGGCTTCCCCAGAGGCTGGAAAAGGGAAACCTGAAAAAAGGGGGAGAAAGAAACCCCACCACCTTCCATTAACTTTGCCCTTCCTAATAAAGTTTGCCTAACTCCCCCTTCAGTGATGTACTTCAAAGAACAAGCACCACAGGCTCCTAGGCAGTGTGTCCCCACCTAAGAAATCTGCAGGCAACCAAGGGAGAAGGGCTGGAGCCAACAGTGGCTTCTTTCCAGGCCAGACTCCAGCCCCACAGTCTTGCTGCCCAGCCTCAGGCTCCTGCTGCCTCTTGCTGGCAACCAGGCCTCTTAGCTGCAGGGGCGGCCACCTGTGCGCTCTCTGCCCTTGCCTACCCCACCCTTCAGGGGGAAGAAGGATGAGGGTGGACAGCTCTCCTTCTCGACTCTCAGGCACCCACAATTTCAGCACTGCCGTCACCACGGACGACAATCGAGTACCCAAGTCCCCTGGAGGAATAGCTTCTCCTAATTCCTTGCTCCCTATCAATGAACACGCAGCAACACCCACGCTCCCGCCTTCCACTCGGGAGGGAGACTGAACCCGAGAGCGGCATCCGGAGCTGGAAGCCGCTGCAGAGGAGTGACGGCCTCCCGCCCCCTGCCCCTTCCCTTTCCCGGCCGGCAAGAGGCTCCCAAGCCAGCGGAGCGCTTCGGACCGAGAGGGTGCCTGAGTACTCGGCGGGGCCCCGCCTCCACGGGGCTGGGGCCGGGGACCTCGGGGAGCCCGCGAGGCACCGGCTGAGCCCCACCGGCGGAGGTCGGGTTCCGGGCACGTACCCGGGACTCGAACCCGGTGCCCTCGCCCGTCGGCATGCCTCCCTTTAGGCATCCCCCCTTTAGGCATCCCCAGCAATCCCAGCGCGGCGCCGTCCCCGCACCCCCGCCCCCCGCCCGGAGGAGACGGCGCCGGCTCCAGCGCGCATCCCGCCCGGGACAGGACGTGGGCAGCGGGGAGCGCGCCGCGCGTGCGGCAGGCGAGCCGGAGCGAAGCCGAGGGCCGGCCGCCGGGGCGGGAGGGGTCGCGAGGGCTGCGTGCACCGCCACTTACGCGCGCGCCCGGGGGAAGCCCATGGACAGGAGCACGTCCAGCGCGGATCCATGCTTGATGGTGCCGGGGCGCTGCTGGCGGTTCCTGCGCGGGGTCACTTTGCTGTACAGCTCCTCTCTCGCGGCCATGCCGGGCGGGCTGGGGTGGCCGTACTGGGCCATGGCTCAGCGGCCAGCCATCGCCGGGAAGGCGCCGGCGGATCGTCCCGGACGGAGGAGGGACCCTGGCTGGGGAGGGCCGGGCGTTCAGGGCCGAGAGCCGCGGGAGGCGGCGGGGGCGGCGCTCGGAGCTTCCCGGGTGTCGAGATTCTGACGCTTCCTGGTGAGGCCACCGGAGCCAGACCTGCCCGCGCGGCGTGGGCCGGGCCAGCCGTCGGCTCCTCGGCCTCCGGGGCCCCGCCGCGGCTGCAGCAGCGTCGCTCCTCCGCCCCCCTCTCGCTCCTCTCGCAGCAGTCCGGGAATTTGCAATGAGTAATTTTTGAATGGATCAAAAAGGAATAGGAGCCTGTGGGCGGCCCGGCCTCGCCTCGCGGGGCCCCGCCCCTCTCTTAAAGCGGCCGCGCGCGGGTCGCTGGAGGCAGGCGCGGGCTGCAGAGTCCCCGGCTTCCAGGCAAGGATTCCGCCGGAGAAGGCTGCCTCTTGTCGGAGTCGGGAGTGGCTCCCAGCGCCCCCACATCCTCCACACCTTGCATGGAGCCCACTGGGCCTCAGGACACCAAATCAACGCAATTCAAGTCTCCTGCGGTTCTGGATGGGGTTAATAAAGAAAATTGAGTGAACTGGTGGATGACATTAATGAACTAGAAGGTCAAGCCAGAGGCCCAGAGAAAAGGTTTTGCTTCCGAAAGACCCTGCAAACCCCAGAGGATTGTTATAGCTATTGAAGACCATTCCACCAGCGGATGCGAGGCCACACTGAAAACCTACCCGCTCTCCAAGTCTGAGACAGTGACGTCAGGGCAAAGAGTGGGACCTCAGACTGTCAGGCTTGGGGGGCAGGGAAGACAGGAAAGGAGGGAGAGTTCAGGACTGAAAGAGGAAGTGGGAGAGAAGATGAAAGGAGGAAGGAGGAAGAGAGGAAGTAGGAAGTGGGAAGCGGAAGAGGGTGGAGGGAGAAGGAACAGAGAAACCACACTTTCTAACTGTAAGAGGTATTCAAATGGAATGGTATTCAAATTTCATTAAGGACAATGCCTTGTCAATAGGATTCAAAAAAAAGCCTGGATCATCAGTGGTCAGCCCTGAGGAATAAGTAAATTGCTTCATAGGTTGGACAAAACTACTCCCACCTGGAGTAAGGTGGACTTCCTACCCATACCCACTCCTCCATGCCCCACACCCGAGCTATTAAGATTCTTTCATTTGGAACTAAACTTATTTGCCTCCAAGAGGGACAATGGGCCCTCTTGGTGCAAGAGAAAAGGCACAGAGTAAACCCTAGCTGCTCCTCTTTTTCAGATAATTTATTGGACTCTTGTATGTGTCAATCATTGTGTTAAACATAATAAATGAATTAACTCATTGACTTTTTACAAGGACCCTGTGAAACATGTATGATTATTACCTTCATTTTACAGATGAGGAACGTCAGCCCAGAGAGACCAGAAGATCATAGAGTTGGTAAGTGCACGGCTGACTTTTCATCCACTCTGGTGCTTTGGGCAAGTTGCTTCTGCCTTCTACAGCCCCATGTCCTTATCTGTGTGCATCATAATACCTTACACACTGGGTTCCCCAAAATGTCAGCTCTTTCCTTTTATGGAGTGGTGGGGAAGGATTGTGACCAGCACTCATGAGCAGCTTTTTTTATGTTGCTTTATAAGGCATCTAAAAGTTTACCAGGGGAAATGACACAGTTTAGTTCTCTTAGCCCAGACTGGTTTTCTAAGGAATATCCAGTGGTATTTGAAAGTGGGGAGATAAAGACTACTGGGGCTCAAGCAACAGTGTGCATAACTGGGCCTCCTGCTGCATGAGGGATGAGGGACGCGTCATACTTCCTGGGTGGGAGCTTCTGCCAGAGCAGAGGAAGTGGGCTGGAGCCTTGTAGAGTTTTTTCCAGGGCATGAAGCAAAGAGACAGAACTGGGCTAGGAAAACAATGCCTAGTAGACATCCCCCTTGGGTATATGTTCAGTAAAGGACGCTGGACCTTACCCAATACTCTGAACTTCTTCCAAATGCCTGGGCTTAGAGTCAAGATCTGAGGCCTAGTTAAGAGCTACTAATACCTGTGGAAACTTTGTAAACCATCAGCATGACACAAATGTGAACTCAAATTTATTGAGAACTTACTATACGCTAGTGTTGTTCTTAGCTTCATATAACCTATTTACTCTCTCAGCAAGGCAATAAAGAGGTGTTCTGGCTGTAACTAATATTATTAATAGGAAAAGAGAAAATGGGAGGCCAGACAATATAAGCATGGCCGTCTGGGCAGCTTCACACTCCACCGGGAACCACCAGTCTGCTCCCTGCAGATCACTGGGGAGAGGAGTCCAATAAGGGCAGAAATGGTCGCATGAGCACTGAAGTCAGGGAGGTAGGGGAGGTGCTTGCCTGTCAGTCTAGCCTGGGAACAAACATAATTGGCTGGAGGGGGTGGAGCCACTGCAAGAGTGGAAAATCCTGAAGGACTCATTGGTCAAGATCCTAGTTAAAATCTCCAGACAAAGAATTCTCTCTCTCCTGTTCCTCTTGTATTATTCCTTCTTTCTTATACTCACTTGCTCTGTGGCCCATGCTAGCCCGCCATGAGGCCCTAGAAGCAGCATGGCCCATGGCCGTGCAACCCTGCACGCAATGAACTGCAGCTGAAACACAAGCTAAGCTAGCCAGATGCTGGGCTGGACTGTGCTTCAACATGGAACAGAAACTGGGCAGTGGCTTCAGTCCTAGCTCTGCTGAAGACAAGATGGGATTTTTTCCATAGAGGGACAGAGGGAGATGGGACCTTCGAAGGGAACTCCCTTAATGTTACTTCATCAATAAAGCTTTCCAAGATACCTCATTCCCCTGTGGGAACCTCAGGACCTTTTTCCCGCTGCACCCCAAGAGCTCCACTTCCACCAGCACCAGGTGGGGACGCTGGTAGGGGGCCACCTTACCAATAACACAGGTGCAACCACATTACCACTGGTCACCTTTCGGTATTGAAGCAGACAGAGGTCAACTATCTTGTCTAATATCATACAGCTAGTAAGTGGTAGAACCAGGATTTGAACTCTTAAAATTTGTCCTAACAACTGTTTACTACCATTGTTATAATGATTAACAGATGCCAACCATTAAAATAACATGGTTTCCTTTTTTTTTTCTTTATTGATTTCAGAGAGAGAGAGGAAGTGAGAGGGAGAGAGAAATAGAAACATCGATGATGAGAGAACATCGATTGGCCACTTCCTGCATGCCCCCTACCGGGGACGGGGCCCACAGCCTGGGCATGTGTCCTGACTGGGAATTGAACTGGCGACCTCTTGGTGCATGGGTCGATGCTCAACCACTGAGCCACCAGCCGACTCCTTTTGACACATTTTATGCCCCTTGACACAAAATTGCTGGATCTCTGTTTCTCCAGAAAAACTGAATTAACTGTCTTTGGGTGGGAAGAAACTTTCCTCTACTTTCAATTTTTTCTTTCAGCTGCTTTAATAATCAGACATGATGAGATGGATTAGCAGGAGAAAATAACCAAATTTAGTCCATATGTATGCCTGGGAACCCCACATCCATGAGAGAGTCAGAGATACCAGACACTAGAGAAGTTCAAAGACAGAAAGGGGACGTGGGTATCTAGGACATTCTGAGCTAGGGATGAGGTAAGGTGCCTTGGGGGCTTTGAAAGGTCATTGCAGGACAATAAAATGAGCAGTAATTAGAAGTGTGCCCTTCCCAGTAGAGAATCTCATCACGGCAAGGCTCTTACTCCGATTCATCTGGGTAGGTAAGGTGGGGCAGAAGTTTCTCTTGAACTTTCACTAGAGCTAAAGTTGCCTTTAGCTCCAAACAATCCGCATACCACAAAGGCACATCTTGGGGTGAGTCTTTCTGAACCCCTACATCTTCCTTCCTCTAGGAAAACTGTGAGATGAAGTGATGGGTATAAAAATACCCGGAGAGAGCACCATGGAAAACCAGGTTCCTTAGCGGGCACTGTGGGACCACTTTCACGGACATCCCAGCCTGACTCCCACACCTGTCCTCAGCTCAGTGCCAGCACTCAGACCGCTGCCATTTGTCCCGCCAGGGGTAGGGGGACTGCCAACTGAGATGCACTGCATTTGAATTGTGTTGACTTTTAAAAGCTATGGGAAGTTTTATAAGTGTCCATACTGTTATGGAGAGTATGGAGAAGGGAAATGACTTTGCAGCGGACAGGACACCGGACAGCAGTGGGAGGGAGAGGCAGGAGGGGGCCCTGCAGAGGGAGGGGCTGACAAGGAGCTTTAAGCTGCTTCCTCAGAAGGAAAAGCAGGTTATCATGTACCCTGACCCGATGCATATCAGATTCCACCCTGGGCCACAGACCTCTTTTCATTCATGTGAACACTTTTACCTCCACCCCTCTGGCCCCAGACACCTTCTTGTTGTGTTAGCCTTTCTGAAATGGGCACAAGGGTGCTGGGCAACCGACTCACAGTTTCTGAGGTGTGTCCTGCGTCTTTTCCTCCTCCTCTCTGCCCTTGAGAAAAGCCCCTGCATTCAGGCACATCTGCGGAATGTCTCCCGTCCTGGGGTTGGGGTGTTGCCTTGGAAAATGATGGTAGTGTTTGAACCACTGGGAATGACTTTAGCCCCTGGACTTCCGGGAAATCCCTCATAGCCAGAAGATGTGAACCCTGTGGTAAGGAAAGAACAGAAACAGCACGAGGGCTCCAGGCCTGGGAATCCAGACGCCTCCGTGTTGGCTGTGACCTAACTATGTTCTCTGCCGTCTCTGGGCATCGTCTTCCTCACCTGCCAAATGAGGGGTTAGCTCAGGCTGGGGTTCCCAGGACATTGCCAGTGGACTCCCGGGGACCCTTTATGGGCAGGGGCTGGGTTACTCACCTGAAGCCCGAGGGGTGAAGCACGGCATTTTCCCTCTTTTCAGAACAGGTACCCTTAGCAGCTTTATGCCTGGTTTGCTGTGGGAAGATGGTGCAGGAATGGGAACCATGTTTTTGCCCAGGGCCATTTGGTATTTATAACATCCTTCTTGGGCCATACAAAAGTATCAACTTAAAAATTAGCCTGCTATATTTGGTCAGGCTAATTTGGTGAGGCCTGTGATGTGAGCTGGTATTGATTTCTTGGGCCGTATGCATCCTATAGTCCAGATCTTCCCCACCCCTGGTTAGAGGATCAAAAAACAACTAAAAAACACTTTACTAGATGATCTTTAATGCCCAGTTGAGTTTTGAGAGACCATAATTTAATAAAAATTACAGTAAGGTAATGGATTAGGATTGGTGACGGGGAGAGAGGTTGCTGGGGTGGGAAGGAAGATGAGGGCGAACTGGAGAAAGAGGAGAAGCTTCCTCCACACAGGTTGTTGCTCCCTCCATCAGGAGAAGGTACAGTTATGGGACTCAGGATGCTACAATGGCAGCTGTCTCACAGCATAAATGTACTGAATCAACATGCTGTACACTTTAAACTTACACAATGTTTTATGCCAGTTACACCAAAATTTAATTTAATTTAAAAATAGTCATGCCATTCCTACCCTGTCCCAAGGCACAGTGATAAGAGAACGAAGGACCCGAGGCTCGGGAGCTGTTCCACAGGCTGGAACGTGTCGCTGAGACTGAGCCCGGCGCATGCGCACAGGAAGTGCGGGCTGGGTGGTCTGCGCAGCTCGACCCAGCAGGACAGCAGAGCCTGGAACAAAGTTTGGACCATCATTCCCAACCAATGAATGGCTTATATTTTCACACACATTGAAAAATGAAGCTCTATCCCAACTGCAAAGGCAAGAGAGAGGTGGGAGGGGGTCTATTTTCGGTTTAATTTTTGCCCACCTCTGAACAGAAATCCCAGCACGTTGCCGCGGAACCTCCCGGGAGACACTCCGCCGCGTGTTTCTTCGTGGACAGGCCTCACTGCCCAGGTCTGGGTCCCTGGCTTGCGCACAACAACAGAAGTGTTGTGAAATGACAGTACAAGCTAAAACAACGTTTTCCTCTTCTCATACAACTTCCTTTTTTCATACAAAAGGAAATGTACGGGCAGCATAAGGGAATATTTTATTTCTAAGAACTAGAACTAAGTACATTTAGAAGCCTAGGTATGGCCCTGGCCGGTGTGGCCCAGCGGTAGAGCATCGGCCCACGGACCAATGACTCCAGGGTTTGATTCCAGCCAAGTGCACGTACCTTGGTTGTGGTTCATCCCGGCCCTGGTCGGGTCACGCGGGAGGCAACCAGTCGATGTGTCCTTCTCACATCGATGTTTCTCTCTCCCTTTCTCTCCCATTCTCTCTACCTGAAGATAAATAGGAAGAAAATATGCCCGGGTGAGGATTTTAAAAAAACCTACATTTCAAGAAAACACACAAAAGATCTTGATTTAAGAGTGGAAACAGCCCTCCAGTTTGGCTCAGCGGTTAGAGCGTCGGCCTGCGGTCCGGAGAGACCGGGGTTCGGTTCCCGCTAAGGGCATGTACTTTGGTTGCAGTTTGTCCCCGGCCCTGGTTGGTCGTGCGGGTGGCAGCCACTCGATGTGTCCCTTCACGTCGATGTTTCTCTCTCTCTCTCTCTCTCTCTCTCTCTCTCTCTCTCTCTCTCCCTTCCTCTCTCTCCCCTCTCTCCCTCCCACTCTATCTGTACAAAAAATGGAAAAATATCCTCGGGTGAGGATAAAAAAAAAAAAGGTGAGGATAAAAAAAAAAAAAGAGTGGAAACAACGCGGTGTCTGAGGCCCGGACCTCAGCCTTCCCGCCAGGCAGGCGCAGGGGCCAGCAGCATCCAGAGGCCGGCCGTCAGCGGACGGTGCGTCTCCGTCTTCAGGGCTGCCAGAAGCATCTCCTCCAGCTGTGCTGTAGGAGCACAAGGTTAAGTCAGTCCGTGGAACCTGCTTCCTTGCTAATATTTTAAAAGTATAGATCAGACAATGAGTTCTCTGAGAAGCATTATACTTTGTGTCCTCTGTTGCTTTATGTCTCAATCTTAATGGAGCATTAAAAGAATGAAGTATTTTCATTGTAACTCTGCCAATAGCTTTATCTAGAGGCCTGTTGCCATTTTTGTCTTTCATAAAACTTTTGTCACCAGAATTATATATTTTGTTGTACAGATTGAGTTGGTGTATTGTATTCTTGGTTATCAAAACATACATATAGCTTTGGGACCCTATATGAACATTCATGATGTGCGAGAAAGCATGATACATACTGTATAACCTAATTACATAAATATGTACACTTAGTTGTGTACGTACACACACAGGACCCAGAAGGACACGTCAAACTGAACTGCTTGTGATTATGGCTGGCTTTGTTCTTTTCCATTTACATTACAATTAACCTTAATTGAGTAATATCAATTAAAATACCTTAATAGGCAACTAATTTCAGTGCCTAATTTATTTGGATGTGCTATTAAATGAACCACATGGCTGCTTGAACCCACAGGACAAGAGTGTTTGAAGATACATGCCCCAAAGAGGTTGTAGCAAATCTGAGGCTGAAGCAACCTTTACTACATTCATCATATTATCAGGTGACTCACAAGTAAAAGACAATCAAAATCCTTTCTGCTTCCCTCCTTCTTCTTCAGTAATATAAGACCTAGTATATATAGACATTGAGCTCAAAGATAGTGAATGGGAGTTAATTAGATGAGGAATGGAATAGTAGCGATGGGATGCAGCTGGGGAGAAAGAAAGAATGTTCCAGGCAGAGACGATACCAGGTGCAAAAGCCAGATATGGGAGAGATCAGGTCATCTCTGATGATGTGCATGGCAGAAGCACAGGTTTTTGGGGAATGGAGGAGGTTCAGATACTGGAGAAGGGCTGGACCAGATTTATTTATAGGTAATATTTTCCTAGCTGATGTCTGCCCAGTTTTGAAACTCTATTGAGAAAGTATCATTACCTAATGACTGGGTTAGCAATCCCAAATCACTTGGAATCCGAGGTACTATGAACTGAATGTCTGAATGTCTGTGTCCCTCCAAATGTATGCGCTGAAATTCGAACCCCATTGTGATGATAGTAGAAGGTAGGGCCTTTGGGAGGTGATTAGGTCGTGGGGGTGGAGCCCTCATGAATGGAATTTGTACTTAGGAAAGAGACCCAGAAGAGCTCCCTCTCCCCTTCCACCTTGCGAGGGCCCAGTGAGAAGTCTGCAATGCAGAAGAGAGCCCCTCACCTGGCCGTGCTGGTTCCCTGATCTTGAACTTCCAGGCTCCAGAAATATGAGAAATAAATTTCTGTTGTTTATAAGCTACCCAATCTATGATATTTTGTTATAGCAGCCTGAATGGACTAAGACAAAAGGGCAAATCAGAGTGATGTCTTAAAATACTTGTCATTTGTCAAGGCTCAGCTGAAGTCCCGAAAGTTCCAGGAAGTCTTCGCAGGCCCCCAGCTCCTAAGAACTCTGAGTAAGCACTTTTAAAATCCTAAAATTGTAATGGATAATTTACAACATGCTGCCTTTTATTTATTTATTTTTATTTTTTTTTTATCCTCACCCGAGGATATTTTTCCATTTTTTGTACAGATAGAGTGGGAGGGAGAGAGAGGAAGGGAGAGAGAGAGAGAAACATTGACGTGAAGGGACACATCGAGTGGCTGCCTCCCGCACGACCAACCAGGGCTGGGGACAAACTGCAACCGAAGTACGTGCCCTTAGCGGGAACCGAACCCGGGTCTCTCCGGACCGCAGGCGGACACTCTAACCGCTGAGCCAAACTGGCCAGGGCTGCCTTTTATTTTTACTCTATATTTTTATTTTCTCTCAAATGTAAACACTTAAAAAATAATTATAGAAGCAATACAGTAAGGTTTTTTTTTTTTTTTTTTTTATCATAGAAGTAAGGTAAAAAAAATAAAAAATCACTTTAAATAGAAGCAATCAATGGTAACCTTTTTTTTAAAAAAAGTAATATTGATGATCAGTGCTCTGGCCTAGTCAAATTAATTCTAAATCACCTGAGAGTGTGGATTATGCACTATCACTATATTCTCTTTACGTCCTATATGAACCCCTTAAATATGTGTCACTCATGCAGCCAATACTCAATGAAGATGAACTCCTGGCTAGCTGGGACCATGGTGTATGCATGAAGAGTGAGTTCATGTAGATTTACTTGAAAACTTGTGCCCTGAGTGAGTAGTCCTGTGACAAAGCCAGAGGAGAAGATGACAGAGTCAGCCTTGTCATCTTCAAAAATCCAGGACGAGGCTCTCTAGAGTGATGACCACCAGCACTGGCCAATATCCTGCAGAGATGCTGGACTCCTCTCTGGGGGCAGGTGGCCAGACTACTACCCAAAAAATAAAAGCAAAATTAATAACACAAGGGACAGATGGTTGTCTTTCCCTTCTCTCCCTCCTCCTTCAAAGTCCCCTGGGCAACACAGATGCGTGAGCTCTGGGTAAGTCTCATTGTTATTCATTTCCTGGTTTGCTGTAACAAGTTACCACACAGGGTGGTTCAGAGCCAAAGAAATTAGTCCCCTCACAGTTCTGGAGGCCAGAAGTCCCACGTCAGTGTCATTGGGCTGAAGCGAAGGCTGCGGCAGGGCTGTGCTCCCTCCGGAGGCTCTAGGGAAGAATCCAGGTCTCTCCTCCAGCTCCCGGAGGCTGCTGGCCTCCTTTGCCATCCCCCCCCCCCCCCATCTTTAAGTCAGCATCTTCAAATCTGTCTCTGCTCTGCTGAGCATCACCTTCTCTGTGTGCCTCTGTCTGGAATTTCTTTTCTTGCCTCTCTCCCGTATAAGGACCCGTATGTTTGCATTTAGGGCCCACACAGAAAATCTAGGATGTCTCAAAACCCTTAATTTTATCAAATCTGCAAAAATCCTATTTTTTTAAATATACATACATATAAATATTTACAGTTTCCAGAGATTGGGGCCTGATACCTTCGGTGGCCATATCATCTACCCTAGGCACTAGTATTCCTCAGAGCAGTTTATTTTGAAGTTGGATGTACTTGAAGATTCAGGAGAAGCTTTTTTAACCCCATGATTTGGGTTCAAGGGAAGAGACAGATTGGGGAGGTGCCGGAAATCAGTAAGTAAATGGTACTTTCCCAATCCTTTTGGAAAAGGCCCCTCTCTTCCATGTATACTGTTCTCTCTGCCCAGAACTCTTCCTTCCCCTCACCTCCTCCAAGGGGCTTGCCCACTTCACCCGCCTTCCTTGCCCGCACTACGCGGATACAGTCTATGCTCCTGTCCTCCCAGCACTGAGCCTAGTGACAGGCATGTCATACACTTAACGCTAACGTCCAGAGAGGTGAGCGCCAAGGCTCCTGGTGCCTTACCAGCTGCTGTGCCCGCAGCAGGTGCTCACTCAGTGTCTGCTGAACCGATGGCATTGCATTCCCGCTGAGAGCGGGGACGCCCTGGGCACCGCAGCCCTTCCTCACACCCAGAGTCGAACCCCGGGCTGGCCTCCAGCCCCCCTCGGTTTCCTTGGCGATCACACAGAAGTCACCTTTAGTTCGTGTCTCCCATGCACGACGTGCAGTAACCGCAGAGCCAGTCTGGGAAGCAGCCCTGTGCAAAGGTTGCCTGAGCCGCGCACGGGAAGCGCAGCCCCTGTGACCAGAGCTGGGAGCCGGCAGAGGGACGGTGGCCCTCCGTGAGTCGGCCCTTGCCAGCAGGAAGGCGACATGTCGCAAATCTCCAGTGTTCCGTGGGAGGAGCGTTTTGGGAAACAAGTGCCCCTACAGGATACGTGACTGTCCTTTCAGGCCCCAACTTTACATTAGTCTTTGCCCTCCCACCAGGCTAATCACAGTGTACAGAGTGTGGACAGAGCCCACAGACCACTCCTCAAGGTTTCCTCGTGGCCTGTTCTCTGCTCAGAAGTTAGAACCTCCTGTAGAGGGAAGTCAAGAGAGTAGAAATTAGTTAGAGACTTTAATTAAAGAACTAGGGACT